GTCACATGAGGGAGGCAGGCGGGCAGAGAGTGTGCCGCCGCCGCCGCCCCTCCCTCCTCTTTTCCTTCTGCTGGGGAGGCTCCGGACTATTTCCCCCGGCGGAGGGACACGGGGGCCCGGGAGGCGGGCGACGCGATGCGACAGGCCAGGCGGCGGCGGAGGATGTGGCGGCCGGCGAGGAGGGTTCGGCGAAAGCCCGTGAGGGGAATGGGGCGGCGGCCTGCTCCTCCTCCGCTCCGCGGCCCCCTCAGGTCGGGGCTCTTTTCTTCTGCTGCTGCTGCTTCTCCCTCCCTCCTTCCTTCCTTCCTTCCTTCCTTCCTTTCTCCTCCTCCTCAGCGCGGGGACGAGGCGGGCCGGCGGCTACGGCTGGTCCTCCTCATAGCGCCCCCAGGGCGGGCGAGCGGCGCTCGGCGGGGCGGCTGAGGCGGGCGGCGCTGCAGTGCGGAAGGCGGGCGGCGAGGGCAGCGGGCTGGGCCATGGCGGCGGCGGCGGCGGCGAGTCGCGCCTGGCCCCTCCTCCTCCTCCGCCTTCCCTCCTCCTCCTCTCCGCCCGAGTTCCTTTGTCCGCGACGCGCTGTGGGGGCCGCTGCGGCGTCTCCGGCTCGATAGGCGGCTGCTCCTCCTCCTCCTTACGGCGGCTGCGGCTGGCCTTGCGCTCTCTGCGCCGCGACGCCGTTCGGGAGAGGCGCCCGCGCTTACGCACTCGCACGAAGCGGCCTCTGTGAATGCCGAATCGAACGCTCCATTCTGCCCGGGCTGGACGGCGACGCTGCGCTTCCTCCTCCTCCTCCGCTGCTGCTGCACCACGCCAGGGAAGAGGGCAAAAAAGAAGATCCCACCCGCCTCGCTTACGCAATCCTACTAAATGCCCTTCCTGACTGCCAAGTCGAACGCCCGAATCAGTCTAGAGTCGAGCGGCCTCGGCAGCCAATCCGAGAGGGACGTCGGGGAGAGCCCGCCCCGTTCCCGCAGAAACATCGGGGCCAATCGCCGGCCGCGCGAGAGAACGGCCGCGCTGGCTTTGCACCCAATCGAAAGGCGGGCTGACGGGGTATAGCCCTCCCCTTCCCTGGTTCCCTTTTGGGCATCCAATAGCAAGCATCTTCCCCTCAGTAGTCGCCAAGGCGAAACCCAATGGAGACGGACAGTGTTTCCTACGAAATCTGGACGGATTCGAAGAGAGGCAGAAATGGGCGGGGCTTAAGCAGAGGTTCCGCCGCTCCGCCTCACCCATTTTGCTTTGGCCCAGAAGGGAAAGGGGAGAGTCGACGGGGAGCTCGCCTGGTGGGCATGTCCCATGGGGGGGAGGGGGCGCCACAGTGAGGTGGCTCTGATTGGGTCGCTATACCTGCGGCGGTGTGATATGATTGGACAGGAAAGATGAGGCGGTCCAGGAAAGTCAGCCACCTGCTTCTCCCGACCCAATGCGCACTCGAGACGCTTCAGTAACGCGTACTTTTATTGGAGGGCTGTGCTATGAGGTCCTGGTGCCCTTCCCGGCTCCGCCTCCGCCTCCGTCTTTTCTTCTCAGGTTCGCTATGCCCAAGGGAAGGGGCGTTGCCCTTGTATGTAAATGAAGCGGCCCCTCCCACGAGCTCGGCTGCGGTTCGTTTTTGCTTCCCTCGGGAGACAGGGGGGGGGCGGCCACGCCCCTTCAGGCAGGCCCCGCCCAGGCCGGAAAGGCCGCGCGTCATCCGGGCTAGCCGGAGCGGGCCTTTCCCCGCCGGCCAGGCGTCAGTGATGCGGCGTTTAGCAATCCAGTCTTTCGGCGTGGACTGAAATGCCCCCTCCCCGGCCATGACGTCGCCCGGATGACCTTGAGCCACTCCTGCGCCTACCTCGCAGGGCTCTGGGTTGCCAGCCTCCAGGTGCGGCCGGGATGTCTGGAATTTACTGTTGGCTATCCGGACTGCGGAGATCAGTCCGCCCGGAGGAGTTGGCACCCTCTGTGGGACTCTCTGCCATTGTGCCCAGTTAAGGTCCATTTCCCCTGATCTCCAGGAATTCCCCTACCCGGAGTTGGCACCTTAAGAACATAAGGGAAACCAGTGTTGTATCAGGCCAGCGGCCCCTCCAGCCCAACATTCTGTGTCACTCAGTGGCCAGAAATATCAGGTAGCTCCCTACCTCGCAGGGCTGCAGTGAGGGCACCTAGGGCTGCCCCGGTTCCCCACTGTATCATAACCACAACAGTCCTGCCAAGTAGAGAGATTGTAAAGGCAGCTGAACATAGGAGGAGAAGAGGAGGAGTTTGGATTTATATCCCGCCCTTCACTACCCAGAGGAGTCTCAGAGCGGCTTACAAACTCCTTTCCCTCCCCCTCCCCACAACAGACACCCTGTGAGGTAGGTGGGGCTGAAAGAGCTCTGACCGAAACTGCTCTTTTTTCAAGAACAGCTCTTGTCAGAACTACGGCTTGCCCAAGGTCATCCAGCCAGGGGCAAGTGGAGGAGTGGGGGAATCAAACCCGGTTCTCCCAGATTAGAGTCCGCCCACTTAACCACGACACCAAACAGGAGGGGTCTGTTGTTCCCAAAAAGCAGCAAGGAGGAGTCTTCAGGTGATGTCTGTAAGGCAGACCTGGCCTGATTCCAGCAGAGCTTTGTCTGGCCAAAGAGCCCCCTTCCTCCGAGGCAGATGGGGATGCAGAGGATGGATGGGGGGGGGGATCAAGCAGCAAGGCCTGGACCAGCAGGCAGGGCAGAATGAAACCTAAGGAGGTCAGGTTCAAAGGTGGACGGGGCTGCCCCTCTGGAATTAGGTTGTTCCTTAACAGCTGGTAGAACGAGGTGGAAAGTGCCCTCGAGTCTCGGCTTATGGCGACCCCTCATGGGGTTTCCAAGCCAAGAGACGTTCAGAGGTGGTTTGCCTGCCGTTGCCTGCCTCTGGGTCGGGGCCCTGGGCTTCCTGGGTGGCCTCCCGTCTCAAGTCCTAACCCTGCTTCGCTTCTGAGATCTGACGAGATTGGGGCGACCTGTTCTATATGGGTCAGGGCTGTGAATATCGTTGTGGTTTTTATAAAAAACTGCAGGGCTCATAGGCTGAAGATATTAAATCCTTTATAAAGACTGGGCTCAGATTCCCGTTTCCAACTGTGGTCAGCCAGAAACCCTTGAGGTAGTTCTTCTCCCCACTTTCCCTAAACTGACCTGTCCAGACCGGAGTCCTGAGGTGAAGGCCTAGGCCGGGGACCTCAAGCCATTGACTCCTGAGACGACAGCCCCATGGCCTCAGGCAATTCCTGCCCTTTCTACTCTTTATTTATCTTTGTATGTATTAAAGAGAAACAGCAGATAAACGTGCTAGATAAATTTCAAGACAGTCAGTAACTGCCCTCGTTATTTATAGCACCTGCCGATTGATGTGACCTCTGGACTTGGATGTTCCCTTTATTTTTATTTCCCCCCCATGTGTATTTAGATTTAGCAGTTGCCTTTGTTAAAGCCTTACTAGGTGCAATATATAATTTCTTAAACATTGTAGCAGCCACTGAAATGATCAGTTTTTACAGATTTCAATGCATCGGTTGACCTGAAGATGTGCATTAAAAAGGGCATAAGGATGTTAATTAATACTGGAGGGGGAATTGTCCCTTCAGGGACACCACATACCAAGGGGTATCGTGGTAAGAGGCTCTCCCCTAGCGCCACCTTCTGTCCCTGATCTTGAAGGAAGGCGACAACCATTGCAAGGCGGTGGGTCAACAGGTCGTGGTTGACCATGTCAAATGCTGCTTACAGATCCAATCATATCAGCAGCGCTGACCTGCCTTGATCCAGCTGTCTGTGAAAATCATCTGTGAGAGCAACCAGTGCTTTCTTAAGGTGGTTACGGGAAACTCATTGGTGCCTTCAACGTTACATTTTCTTCTCGTTTAATCTTGTTCCAATGAATAATTAAGGATCTTCATCACTGGATGAACAGTTTGCATGTACTCATTCTTTCCCCTTAATTGTTCGCACCTCGTAGTCTTATCCTTCAGCATATAAAACCAGCATCTTCTCAACCAGCATTTTAATTAAACTGGACTTCTCAAACTGGACTAATATGGCCCTCGTGCTACCAGAATTTAGAACAACTTTGGACACCTGCCTAGCTACACTGGACCACCTTACAGTAATCACCATTTGAACTTAACTGCACTTTATGTATATCATTTGTTATATGAAATTTTATAATATTGCACTTATATATCTGTGTTTTGTTGTATTTTAACCTGTTGTACACCACCTTGAGCCTGCCTGTGCAGGCTAGGCGGGATATACATCGAAAGTAACATAAACATAAGAACATAAGAGACGCCAATGTTGGATCAGGCCAAAGGCCCATCCAGTCCAACACTCTGTGTCACACAGTGGCCAGAAATACCAGTGCCATCAGGAGGTCCAGCAGTGGGGCCAGGACATTAGAAGCCCTCCCCCTGTTGACCCCCCCCCCAAGCACCAAGACAGAGCATCACTTGCCCCAGAGCCCCTAGCTATACCTTGTGGCTAATAGCCACTGATGGACCTCTGCTCCATATGCTTATCTAATTCCCTTTTGAAGCCGTCCATGCTTGTAGCACCCACCACTTCCTGTGGCAGTGAATTCCATGTGTTAATCACTCTTTGGGTGAAGAAGTACTTCCTTTTATCCGTTCTAACCCGACCGCTCTGCAGTTTCATGGAGTGCCCTCGAGTTCTTGTATTGTGAGAAAGGGAGAAAAGTACCTCTTTCTTTACCTGCTCTTTCCCATGCATAATCTTATAAACCTCGATCATGTCACCCCAAAGTAATAAATAATAAATAAATAGAGGGTGTCCCTTTTTGCGACGATTGCTTTGCTACGAGTGAGCTGGCTGCCACTTCTAAATACCTCCACAAAAATCTATACTTATCTAGGAAGCTGACATGGAAACCCAAGAGGGCCGGATTCCCTAGAGGATACTTGGAAGCAATTTAAAACCACACTTAAGACCGGCCGGGACAGAATGCATCCCCCAGGTTAGGAAAGGTACTACTAAGTTTAAAAAGAATGCCTGCATGGTTTAATGACCAAAGTCAAGGAACCCATAAAAAGCAAAAATTATTCTTTTTAAAAAGTGGAAGGTCTGGAGAAGGGAGGACAAGTCTGGCAATAACCAGGCATGCAAAAAAAAAAAAAAATTAGGGTAGACTTGCCCCAATTTCAGGGGCTCCAATCCGCCGCCAGCAGGTGGGCAGAGCCCCGCCCCTGAAGAGTTCCAGCACGCCCAACATGCCTGGTGCGATGACGTCATCCAAAAGCACCATCATAGTGCCGGGCACGTTGTGTGGGAGGTGCTCTAGCACTCAAGTAAAAACTCTGTGGTGACCATAAAGGTTTTTTTTCCCCTGAATGCTAGAGCGTCCCCTGAATGATGTGCCCAGCGTGATGACGTCACTTCCGGGTGACATCATCGCACCAGGCACATTGGGCATGCTGGGACTCTTTGGGGGTGGGGGGTGGAGCGCCCCACCGGGATCAAGGTGAGACCTGACAACCCTAAATTAGAGTGAATTGCTAAAACCATCAAGACAAACAATAAGTATTTCTTTATATCAAGAGTGGGACACCAGCCAGAGAAGGAGTTGGGCCTTTGGATGACCAAGGGATAAAGAGATTGCTAAAGAAATACGGGGAGATTGTAGAAAAGCTAAATGAATATTTTGCATCTGTGCTCCCGCACATATTCCCAGGCCACAGCTGCTATTTTCGGGAAGGGAGTCTGGAAAACTGGGTCAAAACGGGGTGACGAGAGATGAATTTCTAGACCTACTAGGGAAATCAAAAACTTAGATGTCTTCAGCTCTTGAGGGCATACACCCTAGAGTTGTTAGGGAACTCAGATCTGAGATTGTTGATCTACTGACCCATATATTTAACCTGTAGAGAGTAGCAAATATTTCACAGATTTTTAAAGAGATCCGGAGGGGAACCCGGAAATGACAGGACAGACAGCCCGACATCTGTACCAGGCAAATGAGTAGAAACTATAATCAAAGATAAAAATTATTAGGCACATAGAGGAACAAAGTCACTTTGGCTTCTGCAAAGGGAAGTCCTGCCTCACCAAGGGTCCCATAAGGACTGGTACTGGGGCCAGCGCTATTTAATTTGTCCGTGCATTATCTGGGACTGGGAGTGAGCAGTGGAGTGGCGAGTCTGCGGGGGACCCAAAATGACTAATGATCGTGAAAACCGAGGCTGACTGTGAAGTACTCCAGGAAGATCTCTACAAATTGGGTGAGTGAGCAACAGTGTGGCAAATGCCATTCGGTGTAGGTACGTGCGCACTGGAACAAAACATTCCAACTTGAAGTATACCCTAATGGGGTTTGAACTTGCAGGGACTGTGACAGAATGCCTCCCCCCCCCTCCACTCTGAGTCTCAATAGTCATCCGTTTTGTCTCTTCTTTCTGGAAGGGCAGGCAGCTAGGTCAGTTACCAGCCATGGTTATGCAAATAACTCGGCTTGCAAAGGAACTGAGGGGTTTGGTGTCAGGAGTCTCCAGGTGAGTCCTGGAGATTTCCCAGAATGCCTGCAAGGAGGCTCGCAGGATGCACCTGTGTGGCCCGGGGTCCACCTGGGGGGACTAGGTCAAAGGGGGTGGAGAGTGTGATGTAGAATGGGTGGAGTCAGAGGTTGAATAAAAGTGCTTGTTCCCAGGAGGGAGGGTCTCTTGGTGCTGGTCCTTGTAAGAGGACAGACGGCTGAAAGCCAGTTTGGTGTAGCGGTTAACTGCACAGACTCCAATCTGGGAGAACCGGGTTTGATTCCCCACTCCTCCACTTGCAGCTGCTGGATGACCTTGGGCAAGCCATAGTTCTGGCACAGCTGTTCTTGAAAAAGAGCCGTTTCTGTCAGAGCTCTCTCAGCCCCGCCTACCTCACAGGGTGTCTGTTGTGGGGAGGGGAAGGGAAAGGAGTTTGTAAACTGCTATGAGACACCGAGTGAAGGGCGG